GATTTACACAAATTCGTTCTGCTCGTGTTTCATGAATGAGGCCCAATGTACATTATTGTTTCTCCTCTATGCCCCGCCTTTCTGAAACGAGTCGATTTTTACAAAGCTCATCGGTCTGAAAAGCGAGGTGTACTCTGATTGGCCAGCTATCTAGTGCGTTGTGATTGGCCGAATACCTCAAGCGTGTGACGGAAATGTTACGCCCCTTACCATACTGTGATGCCCTGTCCAGCCGGAGCGACGAGACAAAAACATTAAAACCCATTATAAACGAGGCATTTGTTGCATCCAGTGGGGACATAATTACTGATTATAATGACTTATACTGTCTTTTTACACGTTGCATTGCATCGCACTGCATAAACATAAAACCATGTCTACATTTGTGATCGGAGAAATTGCAAACAACAAGTGCTACTCTACACTGCTCAAAACTCGCATTTGAATCGTCAGTGGCAAATTCTTTAAATATGAAAAACGTACTTACAGTCTGTGAGTCAGAACAGCCGGCATTGTAGTCTACTCTCCCAGGATCAGGAAACAGTCCTCCATAAAATGCGCTAGACACGTCTGAATATTTGGGTTAAACTGTTCTGGAACAGTGTTGTAAATACAACTTAACCACTGATTTCTAGTCGTGTCCTCTTTTGGAAGGCTTTCACAACGAAACAGCATCACACACTGCGGCCTTGAGTGAGCGGAGGCCGAGGCCTAGAGTGACCCGTGGCCTAGAGTTGAGTGGAGGCCGGCTTGAGTGAGCAGAGGCGGGTGGGCTTGAGAATGGCACGGCCGGCGGATTCGACGAAGAAGCGTCCGGCATGCTTGCAGCAACCACATGTGACGACCCCGGGCTGGACTCCGCTTCATCCACGGTGAAAGCCGGTCCGGCGATAGACAGCGAGAAGTTAATGTATTTCCTCAGCGACCAGCACGGATCAGCTCTAGGCATGACGAAGCGGATATCATCCTCTTTTGGAAGGCCAAACAAAGTAGTTTCGCTTTCACAATGAAACACACAGCGCCTTCACGACATGGCGGTGGCGGCGGCAACAAAAATACTACAGCGAGAATAAAAGTTACGCCTTCTTTCTTTGCGTGAACATTTGAGCAGCGTTATGCAAATCTTCCCACATCGTGACGTAGACATGTGGGGGCGTGTTAGAGCGAGCCGTTTTAGGTAGGTGTGGTTGACTCTTAACTTTTATTTGAGACTTTAGTCTTTGCAACTTTACAAATCTTCTTTATGCACCAAGAGCTTGTAACACTCCAAAGAGAAAGTAAAAATTGCATTATAATAACATTTATTCAGTGTGCATATCTGACTGCATAACAATTCTGACAGTAAGATTGTAGAAACCCCCATTTAGAGAGCCACTATCACATACCAGCAGGTCAACTTACATCATAATGATAATTATTTAAGTGACTCAAGAGCATATATTGCAGGTGTGCTTTGGTTCTCCGTTCACATGACAGCCAACATGAATAATAAATAATGACCACTGTCTTACCTAATTCATGCAAAATCCAACACTTGAATCTGACATCATAGGCTATAATCATACAGTCATCGCCACCAAAGTGCCAACTTGTAATGTTTTTAGAAGTTGGGGAATTGCCTGGTTGATGCATCTGATGATTTTATTTTGACCATGTCAGGTTTACTGGATTGAGATCATTGCAGATTGATTTAAATGTGGAAATAGATGTAATGGGGAGAAAAAACTAATTTAGATTTATTGATGAAATCGATAATGTTACCATAATTAATATTTACTGATTGATTGATTGATTGATTGATTGATTGATTACACTTTTTGTCAGCATTTCCCATCTCATTACAAGTTTTTGATTTTGTTAGAAACTATGGAAGCTTGTTTGTGTAAAAAAAGTAATTGTAACATTTTATCACAATTTGGACTTTTTTTCTTGTGAGTTTGTCACAATTCTTTATTTTTTCTCGCAATTCTGAGAAAAAAGTCTGAATTGCGAGATATAAATTCAGAATTGTAAAATATACATTTGTAATTGCCTCAAATTTTTTTATTCCATGGAGGGGGGAAAAACTGAATTGTGAGATGTAACAAGAATTAAGAACTACAAATTTTGAGTAAATTAATTTATATATTACAATTCTGACATTTTTTCTTAGAATTGTACAAAAAAGTCTATATTGTGATCTTAGATATTTTCTCTATTGCTAAAAAGTATACATGACTGTATTCATACACACACAAACCAATGATGTGAAACTCATTTTGTGTTCTATTTACTCAAAAATACATTCTATGATGAGCATGCTTTTTTATTCAGCATGTTCAAGAACAGTTAATGAAACAGGACATCTGTCAGGAAATTGGACAGTCTTTGTTGTGTTTTGCTCCCCATGTGCTCCCTGTGACCCAGTTTCTCCCTCATGCGCCCTTATTAGGTCATTCCTGTTCCCGTCCTTGTTGTCTGTCTAATTAATCATTCTGTTCACCTGTGTTCCTCCCAATTCCCTCATTATCCTGTGTATTTAGCCCCAGTCTGTGTTTGTCGGGTCTACCAGTTGTGTACGTGTGTCTTCCAAAGTGTGGATTTACCCTGGGTGTTGGATTTAATAAATTAGGGCTGAACAATTAATTGCATTTGCGATAATATCGCGATATGAAAAAACGCGATTTTTCAATCGCAGAGGCTGTGATTACACTCGGTCACATGACATGCGAGAGTAAAGAGTTGTGTTCGACTTGAAGATCAATCGGTGTATGACATCAAAGTACGGCGAGAGAAAGCATAAGGAGACGTTCACACTCATAGCTCTCGCAGTAGCCTACTTTGATGACACACCGATCGGTCTAAGCAGCGCTGCTTCAAGTCGAGTGCGGGCCATCAGCAGAAAAAGAAAATAAATAAAACAGTAAACAGCCAAAGGACATAACTTAAAATGGGAGATGGATCGGTTTGTGAAAGCGAAGAGAAAAGCCATAGATGAAGATTTTTTTTTATAGGTTTAAAGGGGTGTGCGACCAAAAAAAGTCCTCCGCCGTATTAGGTGGGTCCCCTTGAGTCATCATCCCTTCCTCCTCCATGGCTCCTCCCTCCGTCTGATCCACCTTTGCTTCTCTTGTTTCCTCCTTGGCTCCTCCCTCCGTCGTCACCTCCCTGGACTCTGTCTGCCGGCCCCCTCCCAGGTGTCCGTTTTCCTCCTGAGCCTCCTCCCAAGTTCCCAACCGTCCCTCCTTCTGTTGTTTCTTCGGCGCGAGGACGCACCTTTCTGGGAGGGGAGCGATATGTCAGGTCTACCAGTTGGGTACGTGTGTCTTCCTTCCCTCCCAAGTGTAGATTTACCCTGTGTGTTGGATTGAATAAATGACAGTTTCGTTTATCCACGGCTCCTTCGTTCCTTCCGGCAGCGTATCGTGACAACATCATGACAATCACTTATTTACAGTCGTTTTTTTCACGTTGATGGATAAACTGTTTCTTTAGACCTTAAGATTTGGCATCATGGGATGGAGATAGATCAGTCTGTATATGATATCAGAGGTTGTTTTTGACCTTTCACATCCAGAATCTGACATGTTAGTAGTACATCATGATATACAAATCTTATGTTTTCAAAGGGGAATTCGATTGCTGATGCCAGTATGATCATTTATTATCCCCCCCCTTTCAGTTTGATTTAGTTTTTGCTTTGAGTCACCACTCTGACTTGGGCAAAAAACATGTTTTGAATGAGATCCCCATATTAGTTTAAAATAGGAATGGAAAATAGTGTTTCGATATGCTTACAGCCACAGCCAGACACACACCCATTGTGCAAGATGTAATGTAGTCCCAGTTGTGGGCATTTATAGAAACTTCCTTTCATGGAATTCATCATGTTGTGATCTTACTCTATTTCTGGACCTTTCTTAATATTTTAAAATATTATTTATTGCATGTCCTATAATGCTTCCAATAATTTTGTTCCAGGTTTCTTGTGCTTTATAAGCCATTCATCAACTGTTTGTTTAAAAAGATGTTGTTTTTCTCAAATGTACCATGTTAAATGGTATACACTGAGGTACCTTTTAATCATTCAGTACGATTACTGAACCATTTTTATTAGAGCCTGACCGATATATCGGTGTCGGCGAAAATGCCGCCGATATGAAATTTCTTTTTACAGAACATATAACGCAGATAAAATGCTTGAAATGGTGTAATTACTTAGTTTGCCCAGCAGAGGCTCCATTGTTTGCTACTGGCGACCTGGATGAAACGCTTTAAAGCTTAAGTCTATGGAAAACCATTGAAAGTTTGAACGGCCATATCTCCGTAAAGGCGCGGCAAATCCGCACCAAATTCGGGGGATCCCTTCAGCTCGAGGAACCCTCTCGAACATGAATCGAGTGTACGTCTCGAGGCCCTCTTTTGAATGAGACCACCCCCACGTCGATAGCCCCCGGGGTTCGGGAGTTAAAGGTGGTTAAATTTGCGGTCCTGCGCCGACCGATCCAGCGATCCCGGGGGGCTAACGACGCGTAGAGGCTGGCGTTCGAGAGGGCTCCTCAAGCTGAAGGGATCCCCCGAATTTGGTGGAGATCCGCTGGCACGTTCGTGAGATAGTGACACCAGCCAACACTTTCATTTCAGTAAGGAGGTCTCTTGTTCAGGCAGCAGCATTCAAGCGTGGTCTTATTCGACCGTAAGTGCCCTGCGTAGTGGACTTCACATGATATTCCGCCATGATTCCAGATCGAAGGGAACATACATGTTACATTCAAAGGGCGTTAAAGTGCACGAGACGTGAATTTATATTTATTTACAGAGGTAGCCTGGGCTGGATTTATTTAATAAAATTTACAGTAAAAACAGGAATATTGTGAAATATTATTACAATTTAAAATATCTGTTTTATGTTTTAATGTAATTCATATGTAATTTATTCCAGTGATGACAAAGCTAAATTCTGCAGATTTAACTCCAGTCTTCAGTGTCACACCTGTCACACACATTTGACCTGTGTGCAGGTCCAGGCTCGCGGGGCGCTGCAGTATCTGGTGTCACTGTTGGCAAGTATGGAGCACAACGCCCATCACACACTACTGCTGGAAATCCGCTGCCTGACCGATCGCTACACTTCCATCCTGGGTGGCGGAGGAAAAGACGTCTACCGCATGAGCAACAGCTTCACCGCCATCGCTCGACTGCTGGGCCGCAAGCTGGAGGCTGACAGCACACTTAGCAGGTAGTCACAATTTTCCCAGTTATGTCACTTGCTTAGATTTCCTAAATAGCCTTGATATGTTCCAAAATTCATTCTTTAAACCACACGAGTGATTAGTTTTATTGAAGTAATTGACATTTTATTATGATGGAATAACTTCTGTTTAAAAGCTCCCTAATCCGCAGGCTTTTGTCTGCCTGTCAACCTTAACCATTGCAAAATTCTTCAGCTAATCAGTGCTTTGGCAGTTTCATTGCTAAAAGTCCAATGAGGTAAAGAAGTACTCCAGATAGAAACATTTTGTTCATTTCTCTGTTTCTAAGACTTAATTTTTCTCTCATATGGAAAATAGGTTGCGTCGGAAAGATGACAAATAAAGAGAAATCTACTAAATGAAATACTGGATAGTGTTTATTTATTTATTTATTTATTTATTTATTGTACAAATAATAGAAGGGACTGAATAGAACTGTCCGTTTTCTACTTTTATATTCTTTCTCCCTTTGTTCTCGCTTATCTTCTTTTTCAAAATTGCTTTCCAAAATCTTTATTTCAACTACATAGAAATGGTTTTTATGTTTGGAATAAACCATTATTATTACATGGCAGTGACATTAGTTTTGTATTTTTGTTTATTGACAATAAACTGCATTCAAACTGCAGTTTAGACTGTAAATTAAGCCTAAATTAAGCTATTAACAGACCTGCCAACCTGTACGTATTTTGACCTCAAAGTAAAAATCTAGTGACGCTTCTGTCCACGCGCAGTATTCAAAACAAGCAACAGAAAAAGATGAAGTTCAACCAATCAGAGCGGGTTTTTTTGGGGGGGGGTTTTGCATTTAAATAATTTCTGCATTTTATTTCTGTCCTAGTAGCCTATAGTTTATAGTTTCAGTTCAAAGCGGCTCGCGCTCGCCCCGTCAGATGCTCTGACAGAAAGGCTGCGTGTGAGGCTAACAGAGACGCTGTTTAATGTGTTTGAGATGTGCTGCTTTCCTTAATGCATAACTTACATTTCACAGGTATATTCTCTATCTGTAAATGTTAAAAAAGCCATGGAAATATTTCCATTTTGCTGTCAGAAGTGCATGAGCTTTTGCTATGCGATTCTCCGCTAAACTCCACAGACTTCATTTAGAACGAACGCCGCACGCCAAACAGAGTTCAATGATATATAATGATATAGAGCTCAATAACTCTGACTAAAATATACATTTTGCTGAAATATTTGTAGTTGGACAATAAATGTGACATATGTAGAATTTTAAACCTACAAGTAAGTGTATTTGTATGATAGCAATAACTGTAAAGTGTAATGGGGTAATCAAAATAGCCTTTATACTCAATTAGTCTGTGCTTTTTATTATTTGAATTTTTAGTTTAGTAACTTTAACTTCTGCTTTAAAAGGATTATTTTTGTTTTTAGATTGCAATGTTACAATGTAATGTGATTTTAACCCTTTTTTGCACATAATATATGCCTACATGCTTACATTCACTTTATTTGTTTAATCCAAATACATAATACCGAGATATATAGGCTACCGTATACCGCAAATCAGCCAAAAAATACCGAGATATGAATTTTTGCTCATATCGCACAGCCCTATACAGAAGTGTACTGGAGTTTTTTTTTCTTTTTTAAATAGCATTAAAAAAAACTAAATAGCAATAATCAACTAAACAGTTACGGTAAACGGTAAAAACCAGTAAACTGTTTACCCCCCACTCCAAGACACCCCCCCCCCCCCCCCCCCCCCCCCAGGTTGGCAGGTCTGCATTAATATTAATAGAAGGAAGAATTAAAGTTCATTACAAGTAGCTTTTCAAGCTGAGGTAAATACCAGTATGTAGAAGGTACACGGTGTAGTACACAAAAATACAAAACACCATAATTATAACACACATGACACTAAAATAATGCAATAAACATGAATTAAACAACATGAGTTGTAGCATAAAACCCTAATATATATAACTGATAACATGAGTTATAACCCAATTATTTAAACATAATGTCAGTGTCAGACAGGGAATTTTGGAAATGTTAGTTTACAGTTTTACACTGGAAATTATAATCTGAATGTTCTTTTTCACTTCCACAAACTGTACATTTAACAGTATTTTACTGTAAAATTACATTAAACTTCCTGTTAGATCTATTACAGTTTTTCTTTATAGTAAAGGAACTTACCAGTAACCAATTAACAGGTCTTTCACAGTTAAAATTATATTTTTTACAGTGTAGTGTTAGGGTTTAATGTACGTGATTGTAATTATGCAGAATTTACTGTTATTACTATAGTAAGTATAGTAATGAAATATGTGTAACAAGGTCACTGTAAAATAAAGTGTTACCTACTGTCAATACTATTTCAAATACTGGTATAAAGTAAGCAGTACATACTGTTCAGTATACACTAGGCAGTGCAGTTGTATTCAATTCTGAACTTGGCCTTTATCTTTGTGCATCAGAGAGGAGGAGAAGGTGCAGGATTTGTCCAGGCCGTATGAAGCTGAGTCTGGTTCTGACATGTTTGCTGAGAACCAGCACCTGCAGGTGAAGATCCAGGCTTTCGAGCAGAAGATGGGCGATGAGGTGGAGGAATCTGAGGAAGAGGGTGCTTCTCCTGGTCCTCAGAGACGCCACAGTCTGGGTCAGGCAGCGCGAGACGAGCGCAGAGAGATGAGGTTCAACAGGTGGGCCTGACCTGTGGGAATTTAGAAATAAATAAAGAAATAAAGCTTATAATAGCTGAAATAGACCTTCCGATAGATAAATGGCTATCCACCCCAATAGTCAATCAAATCTCTGCACTGATATGCCTGGTTGTTATTCGCTATTCTGATTATAAAGCTTATTGTGGTATATTGCATGAACAACTGAACATGTAATAAATGATTGAAACTTGAATGAAACGTTTTTATGTTTGCACTTGGAAAGGAATAGTAGAATGTATGGTGAAAGTTTTTAAATAGCACTCATCATTCTTTATATACGTATGGTATTCTTTTTATTTATGCATGTCTTAAAGTCTTACATTTGATTTAGCAAAATTCAACATTGCAGAAATATGAATACTACGTACATCTTCTAAGAGAGTATGGCACTTTTTAATAACTCACAGCCTAAAATAAATTGACTGAATTTTTGTATTTTGACACGTGCTGTTCTCTCGTGTTCAGGTCAAAGAGTCTGGCTCTTCACGCTGTACGCACACGATCCATTAACTCTGACAGCAGTCCAGAGGGAGAAGGGGTGGATCTGAACGCAGAACTCGATGTCTGTGAGACCATTCCTACTTCAGAGACTGGTTCTGCCCTCACGGCCCTGCAGGAGAACCACAAACTCACAGAGACTCAACCTGACACATCTCCAAACAGTGAGGGGCAAAAGGTGGTGGCTGGAGATCCCCGGGAGGGAGATCGACTCTGGATCCACCTAAGAGACAACATGGAAGAAATCAAAACCTTCTGTGCAGAAATGATCAAGCAAATCCCCATACCTGAGCACTGTGTCATTGAAGGTAACCTTTCAAATCTTAGAGCAATCCACACAGTAACACGTTAAAAAATACCTTGCATTTATGAGTAGTGCAGATGGAGAACGCTCATCCAGAAGTTACTTTGTACGTGGGAATTAATTTGGACATGAATGTGTTTATACAAGACTGAATTTCAGGTCAGCTTCTAGTTCAGTTTTTTGGGAGACCATTTTCCAGGCATATTTTGAAATATGTTAGAAATGTAATCACACCAGTTACATATTAGAATGCCATGCCGAGTTATCTACGGGGTTCCTATGCAATTTGGAAAAGTATGGAATTTGATTTAATTTCCAGGTCTGGAAAAGTACAGAAAAAAGAAAGCTGAGTACAGAAAAATATTTGCATTTCCAGACTTTTACCCCTATTTAATTTTCTATAATAGAAAATTAAGAATTTAATGAAAATAAATATCATACAAGAAGTGTGTTTTAATGGCTGTGTAATGATTCTTTAGGGATTGTCAAACACGACTGAATTAATTCAATGTGCACATTTTCATTATGCAGAAATGCAAGTTATAACCATTTTGGGTTTCTTCTCACGATATTCTTAGCACCGTATTACAGAGCCTCTAAAAGGATTGATGCAAAAATAAATATACAGACTTTTGTGTGCACACAAGAAACCATTAAACTTAGCAAATAGGATGATGTTCACTGAGCCACTTATTGCACCATCAGTCCATTTCGAGGTCTTGTTTCTTGGCCACCATAGAGTATGCATTAAAGCAGACATGAGGTCATTCTTTTTATTATAATAACATGATTGTAATTATAATGTTAATTATAATATTAGCTATCCATTGCTTATTGACAATTTCTGTCGAAAAATGGGTGCTTGCCCTAGCAGAACTCCAGAATAGTTGCGCAATATCACAACACGAGTGCAATTTTTTCCTGAATATGAATTCCAAATGTGATATCGATGTTATTATACAGTTCAATAAACAAGTTAATGTTAAGTGAGTTACATTTTGGACACAGTATTAACTATTTTTGCTGTATTTGGCCAATGAAAATAGTTCCAAACAAAAGCCACAGCAGAACCGTAACATATCTTTGAGCAACAGTGTTTCACTATTGCATGAATCTGCGCTCTTGAACAAATTATTTTAGTGAATGATTCATAAAGACAGTGACTTGATTTGTTTCTGAATGATTCAGCTGTTTGAACAAATTTGTAGAATGAATGAATCAATGACTCACTCATTTAGTGACTTGCTGCCACCTACTAAAAGTATTTCATTTAATTTTTCTAATTAATTTGATATTTTAATATTCAAAATTAAATTTTTAAAACATTTAGTAGCATCCTCTAATTTCTGTCACTGCTGTGAACCACCACACACAATATGAAGAATATGAAAAGATTCAGGAGTCAGCTGTCCTGACTCTGGACCCTCATTCTCAAGTATATTGAATTCTTCACCTGTTATATTGTCCATCAGGCATCTAGAAGTTCGGTTGCTTAGAAAAAGTTGCATTTGATTCATATCAATAGTGCTGTGTAGGATGTGTTACACGTTTGTTAAATTCATAAAGTTAAGGTTTTGTTCAAATCCATAAGTATGAACAATAGTTAGAGTGATGCTTGCCTTTTTAAACACCACTAATTATCATCTATTAGTGCACTGAATGTGACACGCTATAGTTCAGCTGAGGGTGGCAGACAGATTGAGGGGCAGCTTGGCTCTGGTATCCAGATGCAAAGCTATTTTAACATCTCCTCTGCACTGGCCCGGGTCTCTGCCTCCCCTTCACATTATTCAACAGCTCTCCCACAGAGAAACTGTATGGTAATCGAACAGTCGGCGACCTGCTGAACCAGCGGAATACATGTGAGTGTGCTTGTGCTTTTTTTTTTTCATTAAACAGTTGATGCAAAATCCACATGTCACTGGTTCTCATGTGACTCAAAGCATAATTATGCTCCAAGTGTTGTTTCATAAACGCATATGGAGAGTCGAGGGACATTCAGGCTGATGCTAAACTGGCAGGGTCACATATACAAGCCCAAATACATAAATGCAACACAATACTAACTTCACTCTTCTTCTCCCTCACACATATAGTGTCAATGAAGGCCAAAGAGAATGGATGAGTAATGATGTTTATAGAGAGATTGATTTGAAGTGTTTTGTGTAATCAATAGACAGAACACAACGACACAGTTATGAGTAGCGGTTTACCGAAATAGGCTTCACAATGGCCAATGGGAATGCCAATATATCCACAGTGCAGGGTGAGATTGAGAGGCTCAAATAGCACAACCAAATAAATAAATAACATAAACCTCCCAGCCATGTGACCAACATGTAAAATGACCAAATGCATCAGATGGGTAGTCATCCATCCATTGCCATGCCGTCTGAGGCTGAGACTAGGTGGACTAGGCCAATATAATGCAAGTATATATGTGGAACAATTTAATGATTGCAATACAAATAAGACCATCACAAAATTCCAAAATAATTTTGACAATATTTAATCATATTTCACTAAGGGTGTTTTGACATCTGGCTTGTTGCATTTTCTCGCTTAGTTTGGTTCATTGTGGCATGTATGAACATGCAGTCAGCCCAAGATCGACTAAATGCAACATTGTTTCAGAACAAAGCAAGTGATCTACAGGTCTAAAAATGCCCTAAAACATTATGAGTGTCTGGTTTTGTTTCTTCTGCAGTGGTTTGGAGTCTGACTACACTATTGTATTAAAAGATGGAGCAGTTTAGCTGCTGGGAGTTTATTTTAGGATATTTTGTGGTTTGGGGAAATAGATTCCATTTCTGGCAAAGGAATTCATAAGCAATTCATGCTCCTGTGTTTATGTGTGTGTTTGTTCTCCAGACTCACATCGTGGCTGTGTAGCTAAGCTGTCCTTCTCCTGTCCACTGAAAGGACACTACTGCCTGTACGGGAAGTCCTGTTTCTCACTGTGTAGCCGTCAGCCACACCTCTGGATCCAAATCATGCTACTGGCACTGCAGGTAACAGTCAGACAGGTTTTTGTGGCACGAGATGTGTGGTAATGTGTGTGTGTTTGTACTTGTTTAGCTATTTAGCCTTACAAGGACCGAATGTCCTCACTTATGCAATGAAATGTCATGACAACTGACTAGTTTCAAGTGTTCTCCGGTAGGCTAAATCATGTTTTTACTTAGATCTAGTGATTTGTAGAGGTTTCTGTTATGGCTATGTTTATTGGTAGGGGTCAGGTTGAAAAAAAAAAACCATTAACCTGATATAAAAACAGTGGAAGTCTATGGGGTATTCTTATTAATATAGTGAAACAAGTGTGTCTGTGTGTATGTCAAGTATCACTGTTGGGTGTAAATAAATAAAAGTGTCAATAACTTAATTTTCCAATTTACACATTTGCCAAACATGATGGGTAGCTTGGCTGTAGATTTTCAAGAAACTTGTATAGCTTTTCTAATAACAAGCTATTGTTCCAATCTAGTAGCCGTTCTGTAAAACACCACATCTCTCTTTCTATCAAATATTACATACTACAGTAAGAATTTGAGCCCAACACAATATCCTACAATGTCAAGTCTCTCGAATTATTTCTGATTTATTTTAGCAAATTTATTTTAGGAAAAGCAGTCCACTCATTAGTGTTTTTAGAAGTCCCCTTAGGATTTTTAATTAATTTATTTTTTTGTAGCGAAATAGTGTGTTTTGGATTCTTTTATACATATAAAACACATTACATATTTTTAGCACATTATGTATGTATTATACTTATATAATATTAATATATTTATAAACTCTAAATATATATTTATAAGAACTATCGTATGAGCTCACGCCAAACTAAAGTGATAGATAGAAGTGATCTTTGCTCACTTTCTGTATCCAATCCATTCACAATTTGAATAAAAGCTTTATTTCCCATGCTGCTAAGTTTACATTGCAGAGTTTGGGGAATGACAACTGTATTCAAATTGTGATTGAATCAGAAATTGTGATAACTGACATAGAAACCATAACAATAGATGGAACTAAATAAGTATGTGCATTAAGTCGTTGAGTGTAAATGCATACTAATTGATCTCTCACTTGTTCTATTATCTGTAATGCGTTTCTTTGTTCCTCATTTTATTACTTTGACTTATTGGTTAATCTTATCTTAGACCATGAGCAGCGATCAGTGTGATTCTTGCCTTAGCAAACACCACTAATTATGAGTAGTGTGTATTTTGGCACGCTAGCATTGTATCATGTCTGTGTGCAGAGTAAAGTGAGCGAGGCGTTGTGCTGTCAAGATGAGTGTGTTAAGCAGCTAAGGAAACTTTGGGAGAAAACACAGCTGACGGGAGCTCACAGCTTTGAGCTGGCCATGACTCAGACAACTGTTCCTCACAAGAAGGTAAAGTCTTCAACAGTTTCTCTTGTGCTCTTCCTCTTTTAAGCTCTCCCTGTCCGTCTGTCACTCACACAAACACATACTTAAATGAACCAACATGTATCCATTCACTCAGCACTTCTCTTCACTTGAGCAATGACGCTGGATTTGGCTTCACACACCAGTCCATCTGATTTTTAAGCCAAACTTGACTGAAGTCATATGACATTGTAAACTGTACATTAACAATTTCATAATGCTTTATCACGTGCAATAGCAGGGATGTTGATACTTTTTCCCTTGTACTTTTGTTAATGACCATTAGCCTTCGTTTTCTCAATGAAAGCTGAACACAAGTGCTTACAAGAGACTCATTTGTAACACCAGGTGGAAATAGTATGTGCAGGTGACCACTAGAGTGACCATCTTAATAACACTATATTGTGATTCATTCTGTATCTCGATTAATTTTTCACATCCAAAGTGCACATTTTGGTGTTGCCAATTGCAGTATAACCAAGCATCAGCATATTAGCACTGAAGACGGGAGTAATGGCTGCTGAAAGTTTAGCTTTGCCACCATAGGGATACATTTATTTTTTAAACATTTTTATATTTTAAAATATATGAAAATAGAAACGTTTAAATTGTAATAATATTTCACAATATTACTGTTTTAGTGTATTTTTGACAATTAATTAAGCCTTAGTGAGCATTAAGAGACTAATTTCAAAAACATAAAAACGTAATAAATATTCAAAACTTTTAGTAGTAGTGTATATAGACTATAGAATATATTGCTTTCTGCTGATAATCCCCAGCTCTAAGATAGATTAAATAAGCAGGAAAAATCAGTCATCCTCCCTCTTCCTCGCTGCAGGATATTATGAGGAAGAAGTGGCCCAGCAGGATAGGAAAAGTATATTTGATCCTGATCAAGGATTACATTTATGACTTTGAGGAGAAGATATGGGTTACCACAGTGGAAAACTATTTATGCATGTGTTAACAGCAACCTTACTGTACAAGTCAAAGTTCTCTGTGGAGATCAATAAAGAAAGCACTAAAATACTGTACAGTACACTCTTAAAATTAAAGGTTTTAATTGGCATTTACAGTTCCATGAATAACCTTTAACATTCATGGAACCTTTACATTGCACAAAAGGTACATTGGGTTATTAAAATGTTCTTCACACTAAGAAAAAAAAACAGTTCTTTTAAGATCCCAAAAATGGTTCTTCTAGGGCAGGGGTGCCCAACCCTGCTCCTGGCAATCGACTGTCCTGCAAAGTTTAGCTCCAACTCTAATCAAAGACACCTACCTTTCATTTTTAAGTGATCCTGAAGACCCTAATTAGTTGCATCAGGTGTGTTTGATTAGGGTTGGAGCTGAACTTTGCAGGACAGTCGATCGCCAGGAGCAGGGTTGGGCACCCCTGTTCTAGGGCATTACTGCAAAAACATCATTTTGGAAACTATTTTTAACAGTGTAAATATTTAACATCGCAGAGCCCAACATACGCCCTCTATTATAGCCACGTCAGCCACGTCGTGCAAACTGTGACGGGTCAGAGGTCATGATAGCTGCTGAGACGGGGATGTTTACCTTAGGTCATTTCCTCTTTATGGTGCCATGTAAATCCAAGCGCTCGGATGATCTTATCAAACATCGTAAATGTCAACTTTGGAATAATTACTTAGTACAGCTGGTGTCTTTTGTGTCTTTATGCTGTCTTCCTTTTCTTCTTCCTTTTGTCTAAATCTGGGGTCATTTATCGTCCATTAAAGAACTTTGTGTGCACATAGCACATATGGAATCTGTTTGTGTTGGGCACATGTGCGCATTCAAAAATACGAGGCAGGACACTAGCAAACCCATCTTGATTGCACTCATAAACAACCCCCAAATGATGCCCTAACCCCTGACATTTCCTTTGATTTATTCTCTGGCCTACACTTAAAGAGACAGCTTTTGCCAGCATTGAAAAGTTAATATCATAAAAAAATTTATAAAAAAAAAAAAAGATTTTGTACACTATAGACATACTGTAGACATATCTGACCCCATATAGTGAGACAAATGTCCATGTATTGGGGCATTACAAAAGGTGTCTATCTTCCTGGCCAGTAACGGTGGAAATGTTCAGTAGGTTTTTGTGGTTAAGATTTTACGGTTTGTGTCTACACAGGGTTTATGGGAAAAATAACTTACCCTGACAAATATTCACAAGAGTAAAATGTGAAACTACCCCTCATTTATACATTCAAGTTCAAAACAAAAGAAGATTTAAAGAAAATCAGAAACTGGCTATAATGTAACTCTCAGGTTTGATGCATCTCAATGTGTAATGACAGTATTACATTATACTACATTGTGAAAAAAATCAGTAACATTTACGGTAAAAAACAGCAGTTGGTATTACCGTAAAAATATAGTAGCAACATTTTAAGCTTTATGGTTTGAGCATAAATTTAATATAAATTAATATAAACTAATATAATGTTAATAAAACAAAGAAACATAATTATCAAAAACCTTTAAATGTGAAGTGTTATATAGGGAATCTGGGAATGTCAATTTACATTTTTTCACTGTTAATTATAAGATGGCTTGTTCTTTTAGTGTAAAATTACAAAAACTGTCCAGTTAGCTCTGTGTATAGTAAGGGGGATCTTACTGTTAATCAAATTAGCAGGTTTTTACTGTAGCATTTTTGCAGTCTTTTGTCATTACAATCATTCTGTCACACCCCAGAACTGTTTTTGTTGTGTTTTCATCCCTCATGTGTTCATTGACCCAGTTTCCGTCTTTCTTTAATTAGTTCACCTGTGTCTTGTTAATCATCCTCACCTGTCTGTCCCTCATTAGCTACCCTATTTAAGTTGTAGTCAGTTCACTGTTTGGTTGTCCGGTCTACTACGTCCCTACGTGTGTCTCCTGCCTGTCTGTCGTGGATTTACCCTCTTGTGGATTTATTAAAAGACTGTTTGCATTGATCTTCATCTTCTTTGTGCGTTCATTCCACCGTAGCATGACTAAAGACCGGACCTAGAAGTGAAAGTGCGCGGCGTGTGTTCCCGTGTTTAGTTTTTTTGTTTGGATAGTTTTTCTTTTGTTTCATTATGTTTGACCCTGAGCTCAGCCAGCCATCACCCCGCTTCGCGGAGCAGTTTGAGCCCACCGCTGACGGAGAGCCATCGCCTGCCGCAACCGATAAGCCATCGCCTAGGAGTGCGACAGAGCTGAGGATCGCCCCGGAACCAGAGCCACGATCGTCAGACTAGGTGTGCGAGCCGACTGCTAGGCACGCGAAGGTGGAAGTGTCAGTAGGGAGCGAGGGCACAGAAGATAGCCCCGCCCACTGCACCACCGCTAGGGGTGAGCTGAGGTTGTGCTCAGAGTAAATTTATGAGAATATGTCTTGTCTTCTCCCGCCATCATCATCTGTCTGTCCAGTCATGACCACAGAGGTTGTGATTAAATCATCTGTCTGTCCTGAAACCACCACGGTCGTATTTGAACTGTCTGTTTTGAACTGTCTGTCTACCTGGAATTATCTGTTTGCCCTGAACTATATGCCTGTATAATAATGACCATGGAGGTCGTTACCCTGTCACTGGCTCTCACGGTGCTGGAAGTGGCCTTGTGGGGTGTGTGGGCAGCACACACCGTTTCAAATTCCCTTGATCATCCTGAACTCCTGCCCAGTCTCCCTCTCCCACCACCTCTGTACCAGTCCTCACCAGAGCCTCCGCTGTCTCCTGTCAGCCCCTCAGCTCACCATCTGTGCGGTGGGATCAGCGCGGGTCTGCCAGTCTCCATAGTCTCCAGCGTCGTGGCTGGAGAATCCCTGGTCTCTGCCTCCGACCTCTGAATCCTGGACTCTGCCTCGGCCTGTTGACCCAGCGGCTCCACCATGGCTCTTAGCTCCCTCCTCTCCGCCGTGGCCCATCAGTCCACCAACTCCGCCGTGCTCCCTCGTCCCTCCGGCTCCACCTTGGTCAGCTGTCGACCATCCGCCGCCTCGGGACTCCACTCCTCCGGCTGCGCCTCGTCCCTCTGACTCTATCAGGCTCCTTCTTCCTTCCAGCTCCACCTTGGTCCTCTGTTGCTCTGGCAGCACCGCGGCCTTCCAGATCCCCGCCTTCACCTTGGTCACCGGAGCCATCTACTCCGCCTTGGCCCTCTGTATCCTCAGCATCACCCTGGCTCGTCGGCTCTCCGTCTCCATCCTGGGCTCCACCACAACCTGCTCCGCCGCTGTCGGTCGACCCCCTGGAGCCGTCAGCGCTTCCTCCACCATGGCTCCTCCATCCATCGGCTCCACCATGGGCCACCATCTTGGCTGGGGTCAGGGTCTCGCCTGGCTCCTCCTGTTCCTGTCTGTCTTCTCCCTGGCTCCTTCCTCTATCTGATCCGCCCTGGCTCCTTCTGTTTCCTCCATGTCTCGTTCTTCCATCGTCTCCATCCTGGACTCTGTTCGTCGTCCTCCTCCCGGGTGTCCGTCCTCCGCCTGAACCTCGACCTGTATTGTCTGCCTGCCTTCCTGCTAGCCCTTTGCCGTCCCCTGTCACCATCCCATATCCACTCCTTTGTCTTCCTCCTAAGTCCCCCTCCATCCCTCCCTTTGTCTCTGCGGCATGAGGTTGCGCCTTTCGGGAGAGGGTCGAACTGTCACACCCCAGAACTGTTTTTGTTGTGTTTTCATCCCTCATGTGTTCATTGACCCAGTTTCTGTCTCTCTTTGATTAGTTAGTTCACCTGTGTCTTGTTATTCATCCTCACCTGTCTGTCCCTCATTAGCTACCCTATTTAAGTTGTAGTCAGTTCACTGTTTGGTTGTCCCATCTACTACGTCCCTACGTGTGTCGTTTTAGTGGATCAGAGTGGGCCGTGGAAATTGGATTAAATGGTAGAAGGCACAGGGTCATATGCCTCACAGGCTTGAGAGAGCGTGAGTTAAACTCACCAGCAGTATGCCTTTGCAACTATTTGATTTTTTTTCTCTACTCAGAAAAAAA